ATTCCGCCTCGATTGGTTACAGGCAGACCCTCACAGCAAGAGGAGATCAGCCGGCCATCCCTGAAAAGCTCAAGCCCTCGGGTGCGAGCAAAATAGACAACTGAAAAACTCACCACTCCACTGGAGAATTACAACATGTACCACCAGGAAGGTGAGGCACTCCGGAGGTCCATGTTAGTCGGCTCACACAGCACCGTATGAGCTAGGATTGTGTCTTGAGTACTGCCATGACTGTTCTGGTTTGGACATTCTCTCTTGAGGGGTAAGGAAATAGGGTCACCCACTAGATTTGGCCTCCTAATGTCTCCATATATGGCCAAATGACTCCTGCCAAACAAATTGCCCTCAGCTAAGAACCACCACTGAGCCAGCAGAAGAGTGGACCGTCCTGAGGGATGAAGTCCATAAGTAGAGAAACTTCCATCACTGTCATGGTGCGCTCCCTTAGCAAGTGGCCTGCTGGCTGCTTTTGTGTGTGGGGGAAGTAGAGATGGCTGCAGCCATGTTCCCCACCTAGACTTTTAAGAAGCAGGAGTCCATAGATGCCTCTAACGGGGGGCTAACATGAAGAGGAAAGTTCTGCTCGCTAAAACTCCTGGAGAAAGGGTGGCTGTAAGAAAGAACATAGGCCAGCTATGCAAATTCATTAAGTGACCGTCTGGTGTCTTCTCAGACGACACCAACAGTGACATGACCAGTGACGACGACATGAGCCGAACTGGGAGAGAAACCCCACCACCTCGGTCGTCCCATTCTTTCAGCAGTGAGTAAACAGGCCCCCCCAAATACCTCATTATAAAGAGGCCTCTGTGAAGATGCAGATGGTACCAGAGGGCTCACAGAGCTGAGGAGAGTAGATTAATTGAGGCATTTTTATATCAAAACAGACACCTACAATGAAATGGCATGCAGTTGTTTTTTTTTTTAAATAATAACATTTATACTATTTAACATCAACTTAAGACTGTACCAGGAGAATTGCCCTTAGGGTGGACATGTGTTCCACTTCCTCGGGTTCTTTCCATTTTGCAATTTAAAGTCAGCTGGCCTGTGCTAGACATACAAGGTCTATGGTCTCTTTCCTGGCTGGGGACTTAACCACTCAGAAGCTAACTGGGGAGGTCTGAAGTGGCACTGGCTTACAGATGTAACTCCGGGCCTTGCTGTGAAGCAAGCCCCTCTTGGGAAAAGCTTGTAGGGGTAGCTCCTGAGCCTGTCAGTCTGGAACTTTCCCACGTTGTAGCCATCTCCCCGAGGGAGACATGTGCACAGACAGGAAGGAAACACAGACATGCCATAGCATTTCTGACCACTCAAATGCTTGGCCTGCCTAGGTGATCGAGACCAGGAGCGCCGGGGCCGGAGCCGCGAAGTTGAGCCCCGAGACCGCTGGCCATACAACAGGAACCCCAGAAGCAGTAAGTTGTCTGCTGGCCCTTGGCTCAAGGCAGAGGCTACGTGCATAGGGGTCTCCCAAGGCCCAAGTACTCGATTTGGGTTGTATGCCTGTTGCTAAAATGTCCAGTTTGAAGCTATAGTTTCTGCACTTCCTCTCAGCAGAGCCATTTAACACTACGGTTGTTTACTCAACATTTTTCCTAAGCAGACGTATTTTTAAAGGAAACTAGATGTTCGCACACACACATATAAACTGTATTGCTACAAAAATGAACAAAATATATACAGTACCACAGACAGAGATGTGACCATGAAAGGCAAGCAGGCTTTCATTACGACAATGCTGCCTGCCATGGCTTCATGTAAGCGTGGGGAAACACTGCATCAAGGTGCCCCGCCAAAGTACAATAGAAGGAATATACACTGTGTGGATGTATTCTCGGTGTCCGTGCCACCACGGACTATCTCTTGTTCCTCCTGGACTTGAAAGATGCTGGTGCACTTACCAGCAGGGCATTCTAAAAGTGTCATCAGGAAATGATGTTCAAGCCCACCACATTGGCCAATAGTTGGGCTACCTTTGGTGTGGCTTTATGTGTGGTCCCGGATGCTGGACCCACACAACTGTGGCATGAGCCTGACTCTAAGATTACGGAGGAAGGATGAGGCAGGGATGCTGGGGTGTTGCAAAGCCCTTCCGCAGGAAGCCCAGAACACATAGAGACTTTTTGCACACACTCACATTCCAGATAGGTTCTGAGGCTGGCAGGAATACCTGAGCCCCGCCATGTTAGACTGTGTTGTGCACCCCTCTGATGTCTCTCCTCCTTCTAGGGCTGCCTCAACGGGACCTTTCCCTGCCTGTGATGTCAAGATCCCATTTTGGACTGGAGAGAGATGACAGACGTTCCCTGGACTATGAGTCTCGATCCCAGGTATGCTCAGGTTTCCTCTCTTTTCAGAAAAACCTATCTTCATTTCACACCAAAGATGCCCGTCTTTCCCCTAAGGATGCCTTCATCTCCCCTAGATGCTCACCCGTGGCTGAGAGCCCTCAGTCACTCTAAAGAGCAGGCAGGGCTCTTCCCGACAGGTGACCAGTGGCCAAGGTCACTGCTGCCTGCCTTTAAACTGACGCATAAACAGAGGAGTGCTTGTCCCTCAGTGTGTGTCACTTGATAGGGTAAGCAGCAGAAGCCTTCCAGACTTCTTACTGCCCAACCCCCCGCATTAAAACTTGTGAGGGAAAGGAGAAAAAGGCTCTGGAGCTGATGAGAATAGGGTACAAAAGCTGCCTCTGCCACCTTCTGCTGTGTGGAATTGGGCTGCCTAACCAAGCCAAACCCCAGAGTCCTCATCAGTAAAAATGGATGTGGCGATTGTGTCCCAGCTCCATTGTGGGGAGTCAGTGAGAGTCACACCCCCACGTAGGTTGAGTCCCTATTATGTTGTCTGGCACTTGGCAGACACTCTGTGTTAGCAGTCACAGCCATCATGGGTTAAGGGGCAGTAGTAAGTAGTAGTTGGTAAAGGGGGGCGAGGACATGGGATTTGAACTGGCTCTCGACAGAAAGAGGAGACCCTTGGCATCCATAGGCCTCAGAAGGGAGGGAGGGGCCAGAGGCAGAGCCTTCATTTCCTTTGCAATTAAGCATCCGAGCCTCCTGTGGTCAAGACAGACAGGATCCCTGCTCTGAGATGCTGTTCACAGAAATGTTGACTTGGACCAAAGGAAAATGCCTTCAGGGCAGCAACACTTGACCTCTGAGAGGCTGGGAGCAATGGGCCACACTCAAGGTTAGACTCAAGGTCCCAACCTTTAGGGAGAGTTATAGGCAAAGGCTTTGTGATTAGAATCAAGGGCAAGCCAGGCATCTGGCAAAGCAGAGAAGAGCCAGGGGATGGCTGGGGCACGCAGGGCTGAATTGCTGGTGCCTGGTAGTTGAACTTTGTCTGGTTTTGCTGTTTGCATTCGCTTCCACGGCCTTGTGTGAAGAGCTGCTGACCAAGGGCCATGCCTGCAGAATGCGGAAGCCTAGGTGCTGCCAATTCCCACTGATTCAGAGTAGAAACAGGGGCACGAGATGGTGCCAATCACATTTTGAAGACGTACAAAACAGAAAGCCCTCTTACTGTCTTTTTGATCACATGCAAATCCCTTTATAGTTCACACGCATAGCTCCTGTTGTGAAAACCTGGACTGTGCCGTGTCAGTCCTGCTTTCAGGTCACCTCTTCCTCTTCCAGCTTGTCCGCCCCTCATCAACATTTAAGTCTCACAGTTGATAGCAGACACTGCTTTAAGGCTATTTAAATGAACGCATCTTTCATACCAAAGCAGTGTAGTTCAGACTTGATGCCCATCAGGCAAATAGGTAAATATTAAAAAGAACTCATCTGCTACAGCCCTTGCCCTCTGAATACCCCAGGGACGGTGACTCTTTTGTCTTTCGTGCTCCCGTCCTCTTGACTCCTTGGCTCTCTGGCAGCCTCCACAAATGTGGTGTCGGGTCTCCTGTGTGTACCCACTTGCTCTGTCTTTCATTGTAAGTAAATGATATAATGATGTAAATGCCAATGCCCGCCCCCCTCCCAAACCTGGGTATCACAGAGCAGTTGCCCCCCCCACATGACTTTAGCATGTGGAGAGAGGAGGGACACTCCACGAGAAAGAGTTTATTTAGCTTTCTGGGTGGCAGTTTGGGGAAGTCTGCAGTGATTGCTGACATCTTCTCTGTAGTGTGGTTACTGTCATCCTTTTCAGCCCTAACCTAGACCTACTTTCATTTCTGAAGCTCTCGGCTTCATTTCCCCCACCCTAATTTTTGCTGTTTGCTTCTTGATGACAGGACACGGGCAGTAGCTTGAACTATGACACTCATTTTTTTTCTTTTTGCTGCGTTCTCCGTTTATTAAAATCCCAGCCTCTTTCTCGCCACAGAACAATGATAAATTTAGCACCAAAACCTTTACATTTTCTCTGCATAAATCTCTTAATATTTAAACAACCACCACTCTGTGGAACTTTAACCCCCAATGTTGCAACACTGCAAGTTCGTGCCATTTTACAATGAAGGACCTGGGGCTCTGAAAGACGTCCATATCTCAGGTCACACAGCTCATAAATGGTGCCAGTCTGCCAGTTCTCTCCAGCTCCAAAGCCTATTCACACACACAGAACCC